AAAAAAAAAAAGGGAAAAAGATGATGATTTCCTGTCTCTTCTTTCTTTTTGTGGTCGTCGGCTCCTCTAAAACACTCCGGAAAAACTCAATCCTTCAAAACCCTAGATCTCAACTCGTTATGCTTGAGCCTTGGAGGAGCCTACCCTTGCTACACCTTCCGCGAAGTTTCCTGCAGAGAAGGGAAAATCAGCCACGATAGCGTAGGGGGTCAGATTGACGCTCAATCCACGACTTTGGTCCGCCTGTCGCTTTGGTCTTCGAACTTGGGCCGCGCCTCATATTTAAGCCCTTGCAATATGAAACCTTTGATTTTAATTTTTCGCAATTTAGTACGAAATGATGTTTAATTCAATTTAATCTCAATTCTTCTTGAAAACTCTTTTCATATTAATTCTCCCATCACATTAGAGCTCAAGAATTTAGAGAATTTTCATTTAAAGACATAAAATTTTGTAAAGAATTAATATTGAGTTTTTTAACCTGTGCCTTAGGAATAATTTTTGTCATTTAATAAATTAAAAATTAATTTTTATTTTATTGAGAAATATTAAAATGGCTGTGGATAAAAATTGAGTTATGATGAGTATCAATATTAAAACGACCTTTGACAAAAATTGAGTTATGACATGGACACTCAAAGCCTAGAGCATACATTTGTGTTCAAATCGATGGGAGAGGTCAAATTCCACCTCAAGTTATTTTGATTTTGGCAAAAGATGCAATTTAGCTCCTATACTTACAATATTGTGGCAAGTCAACCCTTATGCTTTAAATTATAGTAAATTAGCCTTTCTACTTCAAAATCATAAAAACAATCCTTTTAACAAAGGTTAAATACTAATTTTGGTCCCTCAACTTTATAAGTTTATACTTTTTTGGTCTCTTAATAATTTTTTGCTCTTTTTTTATCCTTCAAGTCTAAGAAATGCGCAATGTTGATCCTTTCGTTAATTTGGGTCGTTAACTTTACTCACATGACATTTTTTATTATTTTTTTTTTTTGACATAGAGAGTACAACTTAAAAGGGTACTGACATGGACAATCCAACCGAAAAAAAGAAAAAAGCTTACATGGTAATATTAAGATTAAACACTCATTAATTTAACTAATTAAAATTATTAATTATAATTATACTTGTACTAAACCAGCATAATCATTTTGATTGCACAAAATCAAAATGAAACCTAACAACAAAACCAGAACCAAGATTTAATAAATTTCTTTCTTTTTCTGCACCGATGATTAACTTGCAACAAAATCAAATCAAAACCTTGAAAATTCATACTACTTCAATTCAGCTTAATGATCACATACTCACAGGAGAAATAGCCAAACCAATACATATAAACTAAATTTTGCAGCATTCATAATACTAAATTGTCATTCCACAACCACAATATTCAAAACAAAAATCCATTAAATAAAGAAAAAAACTATAAACATGGGTTTGAAAACCCAAAAATTTGGGTTCCTTGAACCCATGTTGCTGGGTTCCATGGAATGCAGAACTGGGTTCAAACGAACCCAAATCGCTAGGTTCTGCGAAACCCAAATCTGGATTCGAACGAACCTAGTTTTTTGGGTTCAAACGAACCTAGATTGCTGGGTTCAGTGGAATCCAAAATTGGGTTCAAACGAACCCAAGTCATTGGGTTTCCTGGAACCCAAATCTGGGTAAACAGTGGAATAGAGAAGTGAAGAAAAAAGAGGTAGAGAAAGAGAGCAATGGAGAAGGGAGAAAGGTAAGATGGAAACAAAGAGGAGACCAAAGGTAGAAGATGGAGTAAGGGTAAAATTGTCATTTTAAAACTATTTTAATTTAATAAATAATGTTTTGTCCATATCATCACTCTTTTAAGTTGTTTTTTTCCATGTCATCAAAAAAAAAAAAATACCACATGGACGAAATTAATGGCTCAAATTGACAGAATGACCAACATTGTGCATTTCTTAGAGTTGAGGGATCAAAAAAATACAAAAAATTGTTAAGGGACCAAAAAAGTGTAAACTTATAAAGTTAAAGAACCAAAATTAGCATTTAACCTTTAATAAAAATACTTCATCGAATCATTAAACCATTCCATTGCCTAAGGTGGGCATCCGGTTGGGTAACCGAAGGGTTACCTGAAAACCAGACCAAAAAAATGAATTTGGTTTGATTTTAATAATTTTTAAGTTTTATCATTTAGGTTTTAATATTAATTAAATAAATTATGATTCGATTTCGATTGAGTTTTTTAATAACTGAAAATTAAAATGAACCTCCTATAAACCAAATTTTAGTTAAATATAACAAAATATGACATGAAATATAATCTATTATTGAAAAAAAAATTAATTAATGTTTGTTTGGTAAAAATCAAAACCAAATATGAAATAATCGATTTTTTTGGTAATTGAACCAAAAAAATAAGGAAAAGTTGGTTCGGTTTCGATTCTCCAAATTGAAGAAGAAAATTTTTGATTAATTTGAAACCGGTTTTTGCCCATCCCTATCATTGCCCATGAAAGTTTGATAAGTTGGCACTGATTACGAAGTGACATGGACCAAAAAATCATTTAAGGTAACTCACGTCGAGTGAATTTGGTCCACGTCACTATCCAATCAACACTAACTCATCAGACTTTAACAGACAGTAGAACAATTTAACAATTGGATGGCATCATCTTTATTAAAAGGATTGTTTTTAGGATTTTGTACAGTAGAGGAACTGATTTGCTATGGATTAAAGTACAAGAGCTGACTTGCCACAACATTATAAGTACAGGAGTGAATTGCACCATCTGCCTTTGATTTTTGAACCAACGGGTTCCAACTTTTTGCCTAGAAAAAAAAAGGTTAAATGCTAGATTTGGTCCCTCAACTATAGTGGTTTGCACATTTTTGGTCCCTTAACAATTTTTTGCACTTTTTTTATCCCTCAACTATACGAAATGCACTCCGTTAGTCCTTCTGTTAATTTCAATCGTTAACTCGCTTATGTGGCATTTTTTATTATTTTTTTGATGATGTGGCAAAAACAAACTAAAAACATGTTAAACGTGGAATTTTTTTTATGCCAAGTCATATTATTATTATTTATATTTTTA